CCTGAGAATCACAGTTTAAAGCCAGCCCAGCCAGTAAAGTCTGTGAAAATTTTATCACCAATTAACCATCAGAAAGCCAGAAGTGGTGCTGTGGCTCCAGTGGTACAGCGCTCGTCTTGAACTGAAGAGCTGAGGGACAGCGTCAGGCCCAGAGTTCAAGCCACAAGACCAAAAACAAAACGAAAAGACTGCACAGAAGAAAGGACAATGACAGAAGAATCAATAGGAAACAGAACTGAGGGGTGGTACGGGGAAGCGAAATTGTAGCTTCATAGGGCTATTTTGTTGTTGCTAGTTGGTTGTCTTGTATATTGTTTAGATACCTGTTTTTAAAAGTCATTAAGGAACTTCTCTAATGGAAAAGGAAAAGCAAAATCTACCATTATCCTTTGCTTTTTTAATCAATTAGAACTGAACTTGATACAAACATAAATCTTGGTTACACAGACTATAACTGTTTTTACTTAAATCATTTTAAAATTACTTTGGGGGCTGGGAAGGTGGCTCAGTGGTAGAGTGCTTGCCTTGCATACATGAAGCCCTGGGTTCGATTCCTCAGCACCACATAATCAAAAAGAAAAAAGCCGGAAGTGGCGCTGTGGCTCAAGTGGTAGAGCCCTAGCGTTGGGCTGAAGAGCTGAGGGACAGTGCCCAGGCCCAGAGTTCAGGCCCCACAACCGGACCCAAAAAAAAAAAAATTACTTTGTTTTCTCTTTTTTTAGTGGTACTAAATTTTTCCTCTGCTAGACAGGTTCTCTATCACCTGAGCCATGCCATGGTCCATTTTGCTTTAGTTACTTCTCAAATAGGGCCTCATGTTTATGTCAGGACCAGCATGGATCAAGTTGTATAGAATTGAGATCTTCCTTCTCTTAAATCTCTACCTCTACAATAGCTGGGATTACAGTAAAGAGCCAACCACAGCCAGGTAGTTCCTTTCTTTTTTTTTTAAGGCAGGGTCCCACTATTCAGCCCAGACTGGCCCGGGATTCATGATCCTTCTATATTACAAACCTGTGACAACCACAACCAGGGATTTTACTTTATTTTCACTGAAAGCCAATAACTGCAAAATATTCCAAGTGAATACGCTATCATTTGAAGTATCCTTATAACATGTAATTGGGATCTGTTTGATTTGTCGACCACTTCAATAAATTAACTTTTCAGCTATGAGAATTTAACTGTTGATTTTTCAAAATATAAGAAAATTAACAAGAAATATCATTTAACTGAAGAAAAAAATACCAATGTATTTAATTACACATACCTTTTCTGCAACAGTGATTTTCCCTGCTCTAACAATCACTATTGATCCATTCACAGGAGTTTTTAAATCTTCAAAGTCTTTTCTAGTGCCAAAATTAGCATGGATAAGTTTCCCCTAGAACAAAAACATAGAGTTAATGAGAGATATGGTATAAAAGCAGCTATAGAATCTGATATAAAAGATCAAAATCATCAGGAATGGTCTCTTATAATGTCTTTCCTTATCCTAGGTTGCCCTCTAAAGGCTATTTTACATTGTTTTAGAAAGAGAAAGGATAATGAATGGATAAGCCATTAAGAGTAAACCAGCAACTCAGAACTATTCTGTAACAATCCAAACTATCCATATTCCTCTCTCCAGGACTCAGGCTTAAACTAAGGAGACAGACACACCTCACAAAAAATTATTTTTCTGCTACTCCTAGGGCTTGAAATCAGGGCCTGGGAGCTATCCCTGAGCTTCTTTGTATCACTTGAGCCACAGCGCCACTTCTGCCCTTTTTCTGAGTAGTTTATTGAAAATAAGAGTCTCACTGACCCTTCCTGTGATCCTCAATTCCTGGCCTCCTGAGTAGCTAGAATTACAGGCATGAGCCACTGGCCACTGGCACAAACACATTTTTAACCTGAAAATAATTCATTCCATCTATCTATTTCTGCTTCTGGATTATTTTGTCTGTATTTGAAAAGATCAAGCATTAAAAAGAATCAAATTGATACTGAGAAAAAGCTGAAAGTGGCACTGGGGCTCAAAGTGATAGAGTACTAGCCTTGAACTAAAAAGTGCTAAGGGACAGTGCCCAAGCCCTGAGCTCAAGCCCACAAATGACAAAAGAAGAATCAAGTTGAAACTAGTTCCCCACCCAGCCAAGATCAAATTAATTATCTGAACATTTTTTAATGCTATTTCTGAGCTACACTTGCAGCTGGAGATTGGTCCCCAGGTAAGGAGGAACTTTATATATGCACTTTACTTAACAAATACTACCATGTGTCAGGTATTCTCCAAGGCTCTAAGACATGTCTGAAAAATGCAATAAACTCATGTAGCTTACATTTTAATGGAAACAAATGAATAAGAATCTGGTGGAAAAAGTACTATGAAAAAAAAGCAGGATAGGGTAAAGGGATAAGTGGGAAGCTATTTTTGAAAAAAATAAGGAAGTCCTTAATAAGATAATGTTTGAGAAGAGATAAGTCAGACAAGTCATGTTGATGTTTAGGAAAGACTAGCAAGGCAAGTTCCATAAAGAAGTGGCACATGCTTGAACGTCACCAAGGTGGTCTGAGTAGCCAAAATGAATGAAAAGGACAACAGTAAGAGTAAGGCTTTGTAGAAAAACATTAGGACCTTGCAATTTATTTTGACTAAGGCACTGGAGGGAAGGTTGAGAATAATATCTAACAATTTAAATTTTAAAAGTTAATTATTTAAGGTATTTATTTTGGTGTCAGTATCAGAATTGAACTCAGGAACTAGCACTACTGCTTGGTTCTTTTTGTTCAAAGTTGGCATTCTACCACTTGAGTCACACTTCTAGTTTTTGCTAATGAATAGAGATAAGTCTTGCAGGCTTTCCTGTCTGAAATAGCTTTGAACTGTGATCCTCAGATCTCAGTCTCGAAAGTAGACAGGATTACAGGCATACACCCCACATGGGCACCCAGCTCAAAAAGTAAATTTAAACTAGTGTATCTACAGTTCTAAGAACAGCAAACACAATGAATTCAACTCTTCAGTGAAGTCTCATGCCCTTTTTTTGGTCTTACTTACAGTAACTGTTGCAGCCTTACTATATGCCACGTAACCCTCAGGATTCTCCACCAGGTATGCCATAGCACCATTTGTCAGTAGAGTCACAGAGTTTTGAGCACTGCTAAAAAGATTAAGTTAAAATTAAACTAAGGCCATCCTAGGCAAAAAAAATTAAATGAGGGGGTAGGGATGATGAGTTGGTGAAGGAAGGGATGGTAGGGGAAAAACAAAGGAGGAGGTAACAATGCTCAATAGGAAATGTACTCATTACCTTACTCATGTAACTGTAACCCCTCTGTACAATATTTTTACCATAAAAAATATATACCAAAAAAATAGCTTTAGAATACTCAGCATTTGCATTATTTGGCTTGAAATGTAGTTATAAATCTTAAGCTTAATTTTTTTATTTTGAAAATCTTTGCTTTTAGTCTACCTATTTGGTATACCAAAGTAGTTAAAAAAAAAAAAGTTGCAACGTTTATCATCTTTCAACATACCTGCCCTTGACCTGAATCCTAACATAATGTTCATCTCGCCAAACTTTGCTGAATTTAAATTCACTGAATTGATTTTCAACAAAATAGCCAAGACTTTCATCTTTAGGAGATCCAGCCTCACGAGGCACATATATATCTTGACTCAACTGCCTGGAGGAAAAAAGATTTGTTAAAGTGCTTATTAACATAACAATGTTTATTAAATAATCCTTTAGGACTTCCAGGTATGGCTCAAGTGGTAGAGCTTTCTTAGCATGCTCAAAGCCCTGTGTTCTATCCACAGTAACACAAACATATAACCCAAGGATTAAGTAAAAATTTTAAAATTAACTCAGTTATTAACCCCAATGGCTCTTTCTAAATATACTCAAGCAAGTTCTTTCTGTGTGGATTATTTTCACCTTATCCATAAATGCCTCTTGTATATACAACAAAAGTATTCACTGTAAGTAAAAATGGTAAAATGTCTAGTTTAAAACTGAAAGAAGCCAAGCACCGGTGGCTCACTCCTAGCTACTCAGGAGACTTGAGATCTGAGGATCAAGGTTCAAAGCCAGCCCAGGCAAGAAACTCCTTTGGGAGACTCTTATCTCCAAATAAAGTACTCAAAAAAGCTGGAACTGGCACTGTGGCACAAGTGATAGAGTACTTGCCTTGAGCAAAAAGAAAGTCAGGGATAGAACCTAGGATCGGCTTTAAAAAAAAAAATGTTACTACTATTAAAACTGTAGGAAGCTAACTCTACACAGACGTTAGATGACTAAAGAAGATATTAGAAACAGGACAACTGGGTGCTGGTGGCTCACTCCTATAATTCTAGCTGAGGAGGCATCTAAAGATGCTGGTTTGAAGCCAGCCTAGGCAGAAATTTCTGGCTTTTATCTCCAATAAACCACTCAGGATAAAAAAAAACAAACTGGAAGTGGCACTGTGGTTCAACTGGTAGAGCACTAGACTTGAGGAAGAGCAGCTCAGAGACAGCACCCAGGGCCAGAAAAAAAAGGGGGGGGCAGAAATTGGAAGGAGATTTCTTGGCAGATGGCATGCATACACACTAGATATATACCAAGACAGACTGTCAATTAAGTCATCCTGGGATACTCTTAAGAACAGTAGCAGAGGGGCTAGGAAGGTGGCTCAGCAGTAGAGTGCTTGCCTTGCATGCATGAGGCCCTGGGTTCGATTCCTCAGCACCACATAAACAGAAAAGGCCAGAAGTAGCACTGTGGCTCAAGTGGCAGAGTGTTAGCCTTGAGCTGAAGAGCTCAGGAACAGCACCCAGGCCTAGAGTTCAAGCCCCATGACCAACCAAAAAAGCTCAGCATGACATTACAAGAGCTTCAGATGGAACATCAGGGCAAAATCCAGTCTGATGGCAAAGAAATAAGATCTAGTCAACTATTTATGAAAACCAAGAATCTCCAGGAAAGTTCTTAACATTTTTCCCTACCAGAATCACTTCAATTTTTTTTTCTTTTCTTCTGTTCAGCCATTTTATATAGAAGGAGGGCACTTTTTAAACTCTTCCCCTTCAGATCATGGAAACTTTAATTTATCCCATAAGCATAGCCACTAATATCTATTTTTAGAAGAAAATGTTGTAGTTAAATGGGAAATAGTTGAATTTTTTATTGTTTAATCTCTCTAGTTAAACATGAGAAAGCTCTGCCTCTCTGAAAAGCCTGTCTTCAAGACTATTACCTTTGTTTTAGTTAATCTGATAAAACAGAATTTGTTTATATACTGAGGTTGAACTTGTGAAGGAGCCTAAGCTTACTTGATGGTGTTGAGAAAGTCTATGGTATTCAGTTTCTCTGACAACATGTTTTTGAGGTCTTCCCAATACAAATGAGGTGACAGCTCAGGGAATGCGTCTTCTGCCTCTTGCTCAGGGAATATATTTTCTGCATTCTCTGTCGTTCCTGCTTCTGCCACTTTATTACAATCAGCTTTTGGTTCTACACGTTTACAGTAGCCCAGGTAGCCAATCATAAATCCTAAGGATAAAAAGTTTAGAGCTGAACTTAATTCATTATAGTCAGTTAAGCCTAAAAATAGTGGTTTTAATTAAATTCTGCAAACCAATGTTTTTAGGTTTTAGTCCAATAAATTACACGGTTACCAGTTCAAAATAGTTATTTGCTAGAAGCCTTCTTTGAAATCTCAGGCTGATTTTATCAAAACTTCCTGTATGTATTATATATGCAAATGGCAGGCACAGAATCTTAAATCATTGTATTCGTAATCCTAGCAGTGATGCTTAAAAAGGTACAAAATCAGCATCTTCTAAACTGAAACAAGACTTTCAAGACTTATTTATAAGTTTTTGAACAATTGTTCTTACCAATCAAGAAAAAGATGATTACAGCAATGGTCCCATAGCAGATTCTTCCATTAAACCTTTTAGGTTTTGTGACATTGGTCCTCATGTTATTATCAGTACTTTCTTCCTCATCTACAGCAAGTTTCATCTCCACATGACTGTTATCTCCATCTACCTGCCGAGCCAGGCTAAACCGAGTATATGACATTGGTTCTCCACCAAACTGAGATTGTTAAGAACACAAAAGGGAAATATAGACATTGACAAGAGTTGGTTATGCACTGTACTTGTTATTGGACCACTAGTATGACTTGATACACATTTAAGTAAAACAAGTTATCCTTTCAAATCAACATTCTTCCCTGTTGCCAGCTCTGAAAATGGCAGCTGAGGGCTATAACAAGCATACTAAGTCTTTTCAGGGTTTTCTTCGCTTCTCTTTTTCTTTTTTTATTTTTTTTGTGCCAGTCTTGGGGCTTTAACTCAAGCTTGGGCACTGCCCCTGAGCGTTTTTGCTTAAGGCTAATGCTCTACCAAGTGAGCCACAGCTGCACTTCCAGTTTGACAGTTAATTGGAGATAAGAATCTCCAATCTTCCTTCTGGTTGAGTTCAGAGCTCAGACTCCTGAATAGCTAGAATGGATAATGAGCCACAGGGGCCTGCCTTTTTTTTTCTTTAAAATTTTCCCTTTTTTATGTAGGTACAAGGGCTTGAACTCCACCTCATCCTCTTGTTTCACTGTTTCACTTTCTTTCTCACAGCTGGTGCTCTGAAGCCATGCTTCCAGGGTAGGCTTTTGGTTATTTTGGAGATAGTGGGCCTGGGCTGGCTTCAAACTGGGCTTCTCTAGGTCACTGCCTCTTTAGTAGTTATAAGCATGAACCACTGGTCCCCAGCTTATTCAGCTTTCTCATTCATGATTTCTGTTTTGTATGTCTCCTATTATATTTTCTAGTTTTTAACTTTTTATTTAAGGAGACCTTCAGGCTGGAGGCTGGAGGTGTCACTTTGTAGTACAGTGCCTGCCTAGCAAAGAGGTCCCAAATTCAAGCTCTAGTACTAGCACACACATACATATAGCCATGAGCCAGGCATGATGGCACATCTCCATAAATTTAGCACTCTGGAGGCTGGGAATTCAGGGCCAGCTAGGGCTACATAGCAAAACATAAAAATAAAAACCGTGAATATACTCTTTTTTTTTTTGGGGGGGGGGGGGGGCGGTCCGGTCGTGGGGCCTGAACTCTGGGCCTGGGCGCTGTCCCTCAGCTCTTCAGCTCAAGGCTAGCACTCTACCACTTGAGCCACAGCGCTACTGCCGGCTTTTTTTCTTTTTGCTTATGTGGTGCTGAGGAATCTAACCCAGGGCCTCAGGCATGCAAGGCAAGCGCTCTACCACTGAGCCACCTTCCCAGCCCCGAATATACTCTTCTTTATGGGATCTGTTATGCCTCAATACTACCAGTTCAAATGTAAAGAATGCCTATTGATAGTCTGGGATATTATTTCATGTTTACTCAGTAAAAGCCATGTCTATATGAAATATTACTGAAAATATCTCACCAAGTTAGAGAATGCTGATCTGGCTTGATCCATCATTTTGAGTTGCCACCAGGAAGAACCTAAAAATAGAATAAAGAATAATGAGATAGATGACACTGTATTAGATAATCAGTATGAACTCTTAATTACAAGGCTAGATAATTACATATCAAATTTATTGTTAAATATGTTATTACCACTCTAGAAAAGCCTTTCTTTCCTCCTTTTGTGGTGGTACTAGGGTTTTGTGTTTAGGGCTTCATACTTGCTAGATAGGCACTCTACTGCTGAGCCACATCAGTTGCCCATTTTAGGCTTTCTATCTAAAATCCCTGTAGCTGAGATAACAGGCATGTGCCATCACCGCCCACCTTCTGGGCATCTCAAACTTTTTACCTGGCCTGGCCTGGAACTGTGATCCTCCAGATTTCAGCCTCATCAGTAGTTAGGATCAACAGATGTCAGCTATGGGTGTCCAGATATTTAAGAGTAGATTGCACAACTTAGGCTGTCTCTGAATTCGCTGTGGCATCAAGTGGGCCCTGGACTCTGAATTCCCCAGTGTTGGAATTACAAATATGGGCCACTATACTTTAACCAATACCTGTTTTCTCATGATAACTATTGAATCCTGACCTGAGGTGAGATAGTAATTGGACAACAGTGAAGCAAAAATCCTGAAAAGGGACTATACACCAGGTAATGTCGTTACATAAATATCAGGTTGTTTTTTTGTTCTTGGATTAATGCTGAAGAATTTAAGGATGAAGTACCATAACTTACTATTAGTTTAGTTTGTTTGTTTTTGTCAGTCTTGGGGCTTGAACTCAGGGTCTGAGTACTGTCCCTGAGCTTTTTTGCTCAAGGCTAACGATTTACCATTTAAGCCACAGTGACACTTCCTGTTTTCTGGTGGTTAATTGGAGATAATCTCACAGACTTTCCTTCCTAGGCTGGCTTTGAATTGCGATCTCCAGATCCAGTCTCCTGAGTAGCTAGGATTACAGGTATGGAGCCAGGCTAGTAGTCCAGTTTTTAAAATATTTTAAAAAGCAAACAGTTGTTGAATCTAGTTAAAAGGTTCATGGCTAGCATAACTATTCCGTTTTCTTTAAGGCTTGAAATTTTGAAAATTATAATGTAAGAAAAAACAGTTAAAATATCATCCATGCTAAAAAGATTTAAGCAATCAAATCTAGTAGCCAAAAAAGGTATCAATAAATTATCATCTTTAAAAAATCCACAACTAAAGCCAAAGTCAAAACTCAGCCAGGAACCAATGGCTCATGTCTATAATCTTAGCTACTCAAGAGGCTGCAGTCTGAAGATCATGGTCTGAAGCCAGTCCGTGCAGGAAAATGCAGGAAAGGCAGTGAGATTTTATTTCCAATCAACCAGAAAGAGTCAAAAGTGAAGCTATGTCTAAAGTGATATAATGCCAGCCTTGAGTGGAAGAGCTAAGGGGAGAGGAGAAAAAGGGTAAAGCATCCAGGTCTAATAGCGCAGGCCTGGAATCCCAGAATGCTGAAGCAGAACTAGTTTGATTGATTCCAAATATATCTGAAATCCATGTCTCAACTCTTCCAGCCCCAAAAGAATCCTAATTCTGATTAAGTGAATTAATTGAGATCTGACAAAAAAAGACAAAAGAAAAATATAGGTTATGCATTTTTATAGATAATTGAGGTCAATTGGCTGAAAGGCTCATCAATTTGTTCAAGGCTGAAAACTGGTCATCTGAAAAAAAATTTCAATAGGTTACAGGGTTATAGAAATTGAATTCTTTCTAGAATTTAAAAATTAATTTCAATTATGTTCAAAGTATAATAAACTTCTCTGGCTAGCAGACAGCCTAATGTTAAGTCACCTGAATTCTAAAGTTTTTTTACTAGGATGCAACATTCAATGACTGAAATCAAAATTACATTCAGATTTATAAAATGGCCATTTTTGCATACTTTAAAACTTTTCCGGGCTGGGAAGTTGGCTCAGTGGTAGAGCGCTTGCCTTGCATGCCTGAGGCCCTGGGTTCGATTCCTCAGCACCACATAAGCAAAAAGAAAAAAAAGCCGGAAGTGGCGCTGTGGCTCAAGTGGTAGAGCACTAGCCTTGAGCTGAAGAGCTGAGGGACAGTGACCAGGCCCAGAGTTCAGGCCCCACAACCGGACCCCCAAAAAAAAAAAACTTTTCCTAAACAAGTACAGCATCATAAAGCACAATGAAGTTATATAAAGGTTATAAAACAAAGGACATTATAAATTAGCCTTACAAAAAGGCTCCTTTCTAAAACATATTAACCAAACAGTATTTTTCAATCCCAAGCAATAGAAGGCACTGTCAGAAGCACAATCTTTTGCTCCTTCTGGTACAAAGTTTATCATCACCACTGCACTAGAACTGTACAGACCCAATCACCAAGAACCAGAGCCAGAGAGGCCCACCCTCAGCCAATTTTAATCATCCTTTTCTAGGAAAAAAACAGCTTACAAATCTATCACTCATCTAACCAGCCACCCCCCCCCAGACTGTCTAGTTTTTAATTAGTTAATTAATTTAGTGGTAGTTGGGAGACACAGGACCTCCCCCTTTCTGAGCTACACTCCTGGTCTTTAAACTAATTCTATTTTATTTATTTTTATTGGACGTGGGGCTTGAATTCTGGGCCTGGGCACTGTCCCTCAGCTCTTCAGCTCAAGGCAAGTACTCTACCGCTTGAGCCACAGCGCCATTTCCAGTTTTCTGGTGGTTTA